ACAGTCTATGCTCATCTCCCATCAAAAGTGGCACTGCCCCCTAGAGGGTCAATTTGTTACTACATACTCTGTCTAGAAGCCTGATATTTACGGACAAGCTTTAGCAGATCGTCCCCCAGACACTCTCGCTGAAAAACATAACAGACGTCTATAGACGTCTTTGGCAGCCAATGAGTTAACAGGTCAGAGTTAAGTGGCTTAAACGTATAAAGACTGGAGTGAACACAAGGGAAGAGGAGCCCAGATGTTAAAGAGAAAAAGGCCAGAAGGAAAGGACTGTTAATTGGGAGGGATATTTGAACCGGCAACTTATGGATCTTTAGTCAAACGCTCTACCATTGAGATATACCACAGGCTGAAGGGATCCACAGGAATATATAGCAAAACTTTGAAGGGGCTGAAATGCCAGTGACCAGCAGATGAAGCCATGCTTTTGATTCATTTCAATGAGAGAAAATAAAAGCAGAAAAAGTTGAATAACTTAAAAAGTTTAAAAGATGTGAACACCAAAAGTGATAGCCACGTTGTCCTTAGATAGCTGCACATTTTGATTCCTTATTTGTTGAAATAGGCTGAAAACTGTGGGCGTAGTTAGACGTAGAATAAGTGAAACAGGAAAACAATGTGGGGCAAAGTGCTGTAAACATGTCTGAGATTAAACAGAGCTCAGTTGTGGTTTTAAAGGTCTCTTCTCAGCTCAGTTTTGCACTTGTCTGCCTAAAACCGGCCCCCGTTCTTAATAAAGTCCCTAACAGCTCAGTTGGCTCCTCCACAGTTTTTCAGCTGGGAGCTGATCCACCGAGCGGCCAAAGCCCAGAATCAGCTTCTGCTTCCTGGGGAAGAAAAAAGACGAAAAAAGACCAAAAAAAGAGAACTCACCTGAAGAAGGTGACGAAGAACTGCACCAGGTCCATGATGTTGTTGTGCTGAGAGAAGGCGATCTGCAGGAGAGAGAGTAGCAAAGCCATCATTTAAAAAAAAAAGCATCAGTCGTTACGGTAACTGTGTGAGCTCTGACTTCATGGGTCACATTTATCCCGTTTAAAGCTCAGATTTTAAGGAAATCTGAGACTTTGAGCCTCACACAGCTGGAATAGCTGCTCACTGACTTTGAATTCATGGAAGACATTTTACACAATGATTTTGATTCTTTCAAAGAGTTTAACCCAAAAGTATCATTCTAAAGGGAACAATATTAATCTAAAAAGGAACTAGAAAATTTCTGAAGAAATTTTGGAGGGGGGCCCCTACTGCCCGTCCAGGACCCCGGGGCAGGTCGGCCAATCGATATTTGGGCTCTCTGTAATGTGGGCTCGCGCCTATGAGAGGGCCTGAGGTGATGGAGGGACCCGGCTGAGCTCTGGGGCCCGCTGACCGAATGCGGATGGGGTGGGCAGGTCGGGGGTCGCGTTGGCTGAAAGCTGAGAAAAAGACCTACGCAACGAGGTATGACATGGCCCCGGTCCGGTTCCGACCCGGTTGGGTCCGATCCCCAGAACCAGAACCAGAACCGGGCTCTGACTAAAGCCCTCTAAGCGGGCTTCGCCTGCCAGGTAACAGAAATAATGTATTTCTAAAAAAATCACTGTAAGCAGGAGCACAGCTCACAGAGCTCTGCAGAGACCCACAGCAGCGCTGTGGGTCTCTGTTGGTCGCCACGGCGACAGCAGCCAGGCCAAAGTCTCAGCTCCCACACCTGTGACTCATCAGTAAGCCGTAGCTGTGACACAGACAACTGACGGATTGGATCAAAAGTTGCCTCCGAACTACTGCCCGCTGTTCAAAAACTATTTCACAAAACTGGAAAATTCTTGGACCGTGAGCGCCTACAGAGGTTAAGGTCGAAGCCAGTGTATTTCATTTCTGGCTGCTCCCAGCGGTTATTTTTTATGGCAATTTCAAAATGAGGGCCGTTTTGTCTCTGGGGAAAAAAATTTCTCCTTTCTTCCATTAAAATCCTATTAGAGAGTGTTGTTGAAAGTCGCGACTCTGGGCCCGATTGCCGGAAAACCGTAAGGCCGAGTTGGAAAGCTGCCGAAAGAGGACGCCCGCGGCTACGTTTTGAGGCCATTTTGGCGCCGCTCGGCCTCACGGTTTGGTCGCGAGAGGCCGTAGTTTGACTTTTTTTCTGTGAACCTGCCCACTGGACTCTGAGAGCTCTTAACGAGCTGAGCTAGAGTGCGGGTCAGGATTTTCTGAATTTCACTAAAACGTCAACAGCGATTGCGGGCAAACGGTGCGAGATTTGGCCTAGTGGCTCCGATATGGCGGAGGCCCGTCTTTCGTGTCCCGTTCAATGTTCGAACGACGTCTCTCGGACGTCGTGGGGCCGAGTGAGGAGGCCCTGACGGGCCTCATCTCTCGGCTTTTTTTTGGGCCCGTTTGTCGGCGGCCCCATTCATTCCTATGGCCCAAATTTCGACATTTGGGCCATGTGGGTTATTCCAGGTAAACTTCAGCTCCAGGCAGGTTTATTTTACAGCACTCTGTACAAGACAAATCAATGTGCTTTACAAAGAGTTTAAAAGCAGAGAAAGCTAAAGATAATAACTTAAATCAGTCGAATAGATTTTTTCAGCCTGGATTTAAATATTCAAAGTTGCTAAAGTGAGTAATTATAGCCAGATTCTAACAGCCCCAAAAAGAAAAACCTAGAGAGTGGCGGACAAATGCAGAACCTGCTGCTTTGTTCAGGCCATGGAGCTGACATAAAACTCTGATGGTTTCAGAGGGTCTCATCTCATCTCTGAGTCTGAGGTTGGTTTGAGGTGCTGACGCGGTGGTTTTTTGTTCCCGGGTGTTTCAGAGCTGCTGTAAAATCGAAAAATTACCGACGCGCGGCCTCATAATCCATCCATCCCCACCTATTTCAGACGGGCTCTTCCACTGGGGGATACCTCTTAAAGGCCCCATTAGCCCACTCTTCTGGGACGCCCTCGGAGGGGGGGGGGGGGGGGGGTAAGAAACGGGGCCGAATGGGCTTAAGAGGTTTACCAGCATTTGTTCAGCAGGTAAAAAAAGAAAAAAACAAAGGAAAAAAAGAAAGAGAAAAAGCCTGGAAGTGAAAAAGCTGCAGAAAGGCTGATTCTGGTCCAGAGGGAGTCACCACTAATACAGACATCAGGGAGAAAAAGAGCCTGGCTCTGCATCCAGCCCCCCAATGCAGCATTTAACACACACACACACACACACACACACACACACACACACACACACAACCCCATGACGATATCAAGGCTTATGATGACACACAAACAATTAATACACTCAGAACACTGCTAAGTGGATCAGAGCTCTCAGATATTAACACAACAGTCGTCCATCAGGGGACAAATACTGACAACAGCAAATACTAACAGAGAGGACTAAACACACACACACACACAGACACAGATATATACAGAGACATACACAGACACACACACACACACAGACACACACAGACACACACACACACAGACACGTACACACACACAGAGACATAAACATGCACACAGACACACACAGACACACACAAACACACACAGATACACACACATATACACACACAGAGACATACACAGACACACAAACACAGACACACCTACACACACACAGACATACACAAACACGCACACAGACACACACACAGACACACAGATACACACACACAGACACACAAACACATACACAGACACACACACATAGACACACATGCACACACACAGACACATACAGACACACGCACACACAGACACATACAGACACACACACACACAAACAGACACACACAGACGCACACACCCATACACACACACACAGACACACAGAGACACATACATACACTAATACACACACACAGACACACACAGATACACACAGACACACAGATACACACAGACACACAGATACACACAGACACACACACACACACAGACATACACACACACAAACAGACACAGACACACACAGCAGATGAAGCTAACAGCCATCATTTGAATTTACAGCGACTGCAGCGGTTTAACACGACTCCGGTCGATGAACCCGGGAGACCACGCCCCTTTTTCCTCCAATCGGGAGCCACAGACACACAACAACGCACACACACACCAACACACACAGACACACACAGACACACACACGCACACAGACACACACATACACACACCAACGCACACAGACACACACACAGACACACACCAACGCACACAGACACACACAGACGCACACATCAACGCACACATACACACAATCATCCATCCATCCATCTATTCATCCACTCATCCATCCATCCATCTATCAATCTATTCATCCATCCATCCATCCACTCATCCATCGACTCATCCACTCATCCATTCATCCTCCACTCATGATGTGGACCAATATGCTAACAGATTTACCAATGAAGCCATATCAACCATCACTGTTTTATCTCCAACTGATGGAACTTCTAAAAGAAGACGTCCGTCCCTTTTCTGCTTCCTGATAAAACAACAGCTGGTTACTTTTTGTTCCATCCGTCTTCCAAACTAAGCAAAGCTTTATTTACATTATTTTAGATTACAGCCAAACATGGCTTACAACAGGAATTTGTGGGTAGTTTTAATCGTTTTGGGATCAGGGGTCATTCGAGTGTTGGGGGAGAGTTTTTCCTCCATTTCCTGAAGCTGGATGTGGGTTTCCACCGGGGAGAGAGAGAGCGGGAGAATCTATTCATCCATCCATCCATCCGTTAATCTATCCATCCATCCATCCATCCATCATCCATCCATCCATCCATCCATCCATCCATCCATCCATCCATCAACCCATCCATCCATCCATCCATCCATCCATCCATGTATTCATCCATCCATCTATTAATTTATTCATCAATCTATTAATATATTCATCCATCCATCCATCTATTAATCTATTAATCTGTCCATCCATCCATCCATCCATCCATCCATCCATCCATCCATCCATCCATCCATCCATTAATCCATCTATCCATCCACCAATCCACTCATCCATCCAACCATCTACCCATCTCTTCATCCATCCATCCTTACATCCATCCATCCATCCATCCATCCATCCATCCATCCACTTATCCATCCATCCATCCACTCATCCTTACATCCATCCTTACATCCATCCATCCATCCATCCATCCATCCATCCATCCACTTATCCATCCATCCATCCACTTATCCATCCATCCATCCATACATCCATCCATCCATCCATTCCAAACCCTGGTGGTTTATAGATCCACAGACCTTCCTCTTTTACGCCTCTTTAGAATTATTTCCCTTTTCAGGTTTTAATAAAAGCCTGACACGTTTCCTCTTAACTGGTCTAACAGATTTACAGACACTAACAGAAATCCGCCTGTTGGATGGAAAAGACGTTTCTCCACATTTGCATATTCATGAGGACCTAACGACCGGAGTGAGGCAGTTCCACCTACACGCAGATGGAAATGAGCCCCAGCTGCTCACCTGTCGGAGTTAACAGGTGCTCCAGCAGCAGGAACCAGAACCTGGACCAGGTTTAATTTTTAATTTTTAATTTTATTTATTTATTTAATCAGGACAGTGCACATTAACTCATTGGCTGCCAAAGACGTCTATAGACGTCAATTCAAATACAACCGCTGACTGCCAAAGACTATAGACGTCTTTTCTGTTTTTCAACGAAAGTGTCTGGGGGACGATCTGCTAAAGCTTGTCCGTAAATATGGGCTTCTAGACAGAGTATGTAGTAAGAAATTGACCCTCTAGGGGGCAGTGCCACTTTTGATGGGAGATGAGCATAGACTGTAGGCAAATAAGAAAAAGGTAACGGTTCTATGAGAGAACATGTCGCCGGTGAGACGCACGTCCAGGAAGAACGGAATAAGGTAGAAACATATTTTTTTTTCCTGATGAAAGAAGAGAGTCTCCTCTTTCTTTTGGTGTGTTCGGTGTTTACATAGTCATAGCACAAAATATTCTGTGGCTCTTGAAAAATCAGTCAAAATGCTCAAAAAACTCTGGCAGTATGGGACTCTGTTCTGAAAATGGCTGCCAGTCAATGAGTTAATGAACAATCTTACACTTCAGTAGAGATTGTAAATAAAACAGATCATAGCATATTTGCTAATTTACATCTGTCGTCCTGAGGCAGGAAGATAAAACAACACAAAATCATATATTACAATATCAGTCAAAACAGAGAGACACACGTTCAGACAATGACATCACAACAATAAAATGAGTGAGTGCATGACTGGGAACTTTTGAGAGACAGTTTAAGGGGCTTTTTAAATGTGCAAAAAGTGGGTTGATTCATACGGTTTCTGAAGTCTTTTGGATCTGAGACTTTTTGCATCATTCAGGCAACAGCTGGAAATAAATGTATATAAAACCAGATTTTCTAATAAAAAATCCACAATACAGCAAATAAAAGGTGGTAACGACCCTTAATGCAAGATCATATTTATCTGCAGATGCTTAGAAAAAAGAAAAGGGGTTTTCATTTCAGAGGTAAAAATCCTTCTCTGAATCTGAATATGGTGCATGTTTCTAAAGCTAACACTAAAACAAATATTACACACCACAAATCCTACTTCTGCCCCTCTATTAAGACCTAATAAGTCTTATTTCTCCTGCTATAAGTCCGATGCGTGAGGCCATTTGTCAGCCGGGGCCAGGAGAAACGGGAGAAAAAAGAGCTGGCTTTTGTCCTTAAGCAGCTCAGACAGTGGGATAGATCTTCATCTGGAGAAAATCCAGATAAAAACGCTTCATTACGGAGGGTCTGATGGTCTTCATCACACTGTTGTGAGATGGAGGACTTTGTAAAACGTTTGGGACGAATGGAAAACTGTAAACCTCCGAGGCCGAGCAGATGATGATGATGATGATGATGATGATGATGATGATGATGATGATGATGATGATGATGGTGACAAAAACCCTCCTTTTGTCACGGTGGTGTATCTAGCTGGGGGTTCTCTGTCTCGTCTCAGTGTGGTCTTTCTTCAAAATAAAACAGGAAATGTCGTCATATGTTTATGTTTATGTTTATTTTGATCAAATTAGAATCAGAATCAGAATAAGGTTTATTGCCAAGTAGATGTTTGACTTACAAGGAATTTGCCATCCACTCATCCATCCTTACATCCATCCATCCATCCATCCATCCATTCATCCATCCTTACATCCATCCATCCATCCATCCATCCATCAATCCATCCATCCATCCATCCATCCATCCATCATCCCTCCATCCATCCATCCATCTATCCATCCATCCACCCACTCATCCATCCATCCCTCCACCCATCCATCCATCCATCAATCCATCCATCCATCATCCCTCCATCCATCCATCCATCCATCCATCCATCCATCCATCCATCCATTCCAAACCCTGGTGGTGTTTAGATCCACAGACCTTCCTCTTTTATGTCTCTTTAGGATTCTTTTCCTTTTCAGGGTTTAATAAAAGCCTGACATGTTTCCTCTTAACTGGTCTAACAGAAACCAAAAAACAAAATAAATATTGCTCCTCCTTTTACCCAACTTGTGTTTGACTAAAGACATCTGGAGCTCAGGTCACCTCAGGATGACCAGCACATGATTTCCCATCATGCACCAGCAGCTCCTCAGCCCGCATCGTTTAAGGAGGTTTTATCTATTCTATCCATCCATCCATCCACCCATCCATCCATCCATCTATCATCCAAATATCCATCCATCTATCATCCATCCATCTAGTTATCCATCCATCCATCCATCCTTCCATCCATCCATCCACCCACTCCTCCATCCATCCATCCATTTATCCAATTATCCATCCATCCATCTATCCATCCATCCAACCACTCATCCATCCATCCATCCACTCATCTATCCATCCATCCATCTAACCCAACCCCCATCCATCCATCCATCCACTTATCCATCCATCCATCATCCATCCATCCATCCATCCATCCATCCAATTATACATCCATCCACTCATCCATCCATCCATCCACTCATCCATCATCCATCCATCCATCCATCCATCCATCCATCCATCCATCCACTCACCTAATTATCCATTTACTCATCCATCCATCCACTCATTCCAAACCAAATTAAAATAAATATTGTAGCCTCTTCTACCCGACTTGACTAAAGACATCTGGAACTCAGGTCACCTCAGGATGACCACTTCATGATTTCCCATCATGCACCAGCAGCTCCTCAGCCCGCATCGTTTAGGGAGGTTTTATTTATTCCTCCGGAATCCCTCCAGGATAAAGGAGACGGATGGCTCCGGGAGGGGAAATGAAGTGCGCGGAGACATTTCACCTATTGACAACAAACAGAGACGTGCGCTCTAATGAATTTCAGAGCAGAGCGGGCTGTAATTGGACGTAATTCCCACTCCTTCTGATGACCCTCCAGACTTCCTGCCTGTTTAAACGAGCAGCACTCAGAGTTTCCCCTCCTCCTCCCCCCCTCCATGACACACTACACCCCCGATAGGCCGCTCTGTGTGTGTGTGTGTGTGTGTGTGTGTGTGTGTGCATGCTTCCATCTAAATCCAATAAGAGGACCCGATCAGAGAGTCCCGCATGTGTCGGGTATCTGATTAGGACAGACATCCGACTCAACGATGACAAGCAGG